CCTATGGTGGAAGGGGACCTTCCCCACGCCAAAGTGACAGCCGAGGGGGCGGTTGTGTCGCTGGAGACCCCCGAGGTGCAGGTGAAAGCCAAGGTGCCAGACACTGAAGCCGACGTCTCCAGCTGGAAAGTGGAAATGCCATCTCTGAAAATGCCCAAAATGCCAAAAGCTGACATCAAAGGCCCGAAGATGGACGTCAGCCGGCCATCGGTGGACGTCAGTCTGCCAAAAGTCGATGTGGAGGTTGGAGGGCTGGAAGTTGCTGCTGGGAAGATGGAGGTCGAAGGTGAAATCAAAGCGGGCGAGAAAGAGGCCAAAGGCAAAGACAGCAAGTTCAAAATGCCCAAATTTGGCATGCCTTCCTTTGGGTGGTCCAGCTCCAAAGAGGCCCGGGTGGGAGCAGCCGATGTGGAGGTGAGTCTCACCGGGCCCCAGGTGACCATACCAGCATCCAGCGTGGAACGAGAGGTTAGCGCGCCTGCCGCTGAGATCCAGGCTCCCAGTGTGGACCTCGACATTGGGGTGTCTGCCAGCAAAGAGGGAGAGAAGGGGAAAATGAGGATGCCAAGCGTGACGCTTGCCCAGGTGAAGATGCCACACATGCAGGTCAGCCTGCCAAAGGCCGAGGCTGATGTTTCACTTCCCGACACCCAAACTGAAATGAAAGGGGGAGACCTAGCAGTGAAGGTCCCAGCTGCAGAAGGCAGCATCGACATCCCTGCAGGGATAGCCGAGGGAACGGGAATTAAAATCCACATGCCAAAAGTCAAGATGCCTAGTATGGGATTCTCCAAACCTGACATCAAACCAACCAAACTAGACGTGGACATCACCTTACCCAAAATCGACCTCACCCTGCCCACCTGTGAGTTCAGCCTTCCCCAAGGGGACCTGAAAGCGGGCCCCGTGCACAGCGATTTCAGCATCACCACGCCAGATGTGAAGGCTCCTGCACTGGAAGGCAGCCTGGATGTGAAGACGCCCCAGATTGATGCCGAAGCGCTATCTGCCCAAATTGCAGTGGGTGGAACTGAGCTGGACACTGGAGGCCTGAAAGAGAAGATTAAGATGCCAAAATTTGACAAGCCAAAGTTTGAAGTTTCCCTCCCCAAGGGGCACGTGCCAGAAGGCAAGATCAGCCTTCCTATGGTGGAAGGGGACCTTCCCCACGCCAAAGTGACAGCCGAGGGTGCGGTCGTGTCGCTGGAGACCTGCGAGGTCCAGGTAAAACCCAAAGTGCCAGACACCGAAGCCGACATCTCCAGCTGGAAAGTGCAAATGCCATTCCAGAAAATGCCCCAAATGCCAAAAGCTGACATCAAAGGCCCAAAGATGGATGTCAGCCTGCCATCGGTGGACGTCACTCTGCCAAACGTCGATGTGGAGATTGGAGGACTGGAAGTTGCTGCTGGGAAGATGGAGGTCGAAGGTAAAATGAAAGTCGGTAAGAAAGAGGCCAAAGGCAAAGACAGCAAGTTCAGAATGCCTTTTGGGTGGTCCACTTCCAAAGAGGCCCAGATTGGAGCAGCCGATGTGGAGGTGAGCCTCACCGGGCCCCAGGTGACCTTGCCAACAGCCAGCGTGGAAGGAGAGGTCAGTGCACCTGCCGCTGAGATCCAGGCTCCCTGTGTGGACCTCGACATTGCCAGCAAAGAGGGAGAGAAGGGGAAAATGAAGATACCAAGCGTGACGCTTCCCAAGGTGAAGATGCCACACATGGAGGTCAGCCTCCCTAAGTCCGAGGCTGATGTTTCACTTCCCGACACCCAAGCTGAGATGAAAGGCGGAGACTTAGCAGTGAAGGTCCCAGCTGCAGAAGGCAGCATCGACATACCTGCAGGCAAAGCCGTGGGCACAGGGATAAAAATGCACATGCCAAAAGTCAAGATGCCTAGTATGGGATTCTCCAAACCTGACATCAAAGCGCCCAAACTCGACATGGATGTCACCTTACCCAAAGTCGACGTCACCCTGCCCAAATGCGAGGTCAGCGTTCCCCAAGCAGACCTGAAGGCGGGACCTGTGGACGGTGATATGAGCATCACTGCACCGGAAGTGAAGGCTAAATTTGACAAGCCAAAGTTTGGAGTTTCCCTTCCCAAAGAGCCTGTGCCAGAAGGCAAGTTCAGCCTGCCTATGGTGGAAGAGGACCTTCCCCATTCCAAAGTGACAGCTGAGGGGGCGGTCGTGTCACTGGAGACCCCCAAGGTCCAGGTGAAAGCCGAGGTGCCAGACACCGAAGCCGACATCTCCAGCTGGAAAGTGCAAATGCCATCCCTTAAAATGCCCAAAATGCCAAAAGCTGAACTCAAAGGCCCAAAGATGGACGTCAGCCTGCCATCGGTGGACGTCAGTCTGCCAAAGGTCGATGGGGTTGGAGGGCTTGAAGTTGCTGATGGGAAGATGGACGTCGAAGGTAAAATCAAAGGGGGTGAAAAAGAGGCCAAAGGCAAAGACAGCAAGTTCAAAATGCCCAAATTCGGCATGCCTTCCTTTGGGTGGTCCACTTCCAAAGAGGCCCAGATGGGAGCAGCCGATGTGGAGGTGAGCCTCACCGGGCCCCAGGTGACCTTGCCGACAGCCAGCGTGGAAGAAGAGGCCAGCACGCCTCCCACTGATATCCAGGCTCCCGGTTTGGACCTCGAGATTGGGGTGTCTGCCAGCAAAGAGGGGGAGAAGGGGAAAATGAAGATGCCAAGCATGCCGGTTCCCAAGGTGAAGATGCCACACATGCAGGTCAGCCTGCCGAAGGCCGAGGCTGATGTTTCACTTCCCGACACCCCA